TCTCTGACGAACCTAGATATGGCTGATAGGGGGGCCCAAATTTAAATTCTCGTAAAATTCAATTTTCTCATATAAAGTTGATGACGGCACAATGAGGGTTTTTAAGGATGTAATTTTATGTTGCAAGCATGTAGGCCCAGGGCTGCACGAACAAGCGTCCTGAGGGGCCGAAACTATCATGTTCACCTGGGACGATTCGGTTTGATTTCGTTACATAAAATTGATATAACTCACCTGGCCGGGGAGCTAACCTTTTGAGGCTGGTAAAACGGTTGCGGTGGATATGGAATTGAAAAAGAAATACTCCAACGTGAAATATAATTAGGACCTAAAAAGGAATAAGATTTTTGTCTAATAGCTTTCATCATAAGCAGGAACGTACGTTAGTTTGTTACGGGTGGCATATTCGTGACTTGAAGTTTTAAGTTCCACCTTGTGGTTATACTGGGTAATACCTACGTTTATAAAATATAGCTGTCTAGGATCAAATATACCACTCTCGCTATATAACATATTGGTTGGACAATCATAACCCCTCTGATTCGAATAAATCGTTATTGGAATATTTTAAGTGATGAAAGGTATCCCATAATTAAGATGTGATTTAACTAAACTCTTGTATAACATTATTTTTTGTTTAAAATCAAGAATACAACATATTTGTTTAAATTTATATAATACACAACGCAGTTTTTTTAAGGTATATTCTATGTGTTGATCCCACCTTAAGTTATGGTCTATTATAATTCCAAGGTATTTTATTTTTCTTAATGCTAAACGTATTCTCAACAATAAGGTTTTAATCCGGAAGAGCGTTACTATAAGAACTAAATGGTATGTAATTTGTTTTTTTAAAGTTTAATGACAAGAGCCTATGATCAAACCACATCTTTATTTTTTCTAAGTCTCATTCTAATTTTATCTTAAGAGTATACCAGTTACTATCTTCACAAAATATCAGATGAATTGTAGACTTAGATCCCCAGCAAACCCTTTTCCGGGAGGTTCAAGAGTGTATAACTCTGATAAAGAATTGCAATTAAGAACCTTCAAGATTTCGTGTGATGTGATGGCCAAGTGCCCCAACCCTAAACATCGAGATAATGTTCTTGTTGATCTAGGCATGTCGTTGTATTGGCTGAGATTAAATGCCACTCGAATAAACCATTGGTTAGCTGCCTGGTCAGCGCAATTATATGAATTTTATATAATGAAATGGAATCAAATCGAGTCCCAGGGGAAACTTGATAGTTTCACCCCCTCAGCACCCTCGTTCATGGAGCTCTGGAGCCGCCTGCTTGCAAGCCAGGGCAACATAAAATTACACTCTTACAAACCCTCATCATACCAACTTTGTATGAGAAAATGGAAGTTTACGAGAATTTAAATTTGGGGCCCCTTGGAACCCCTATCACTCATACCTGGGTTCGTCAGAGACTCAAAAAGGCCAAGGAGTATACTCGCTGGCGGAATTATATCAATTTTACATGTTGATATCAAATAAAATCAAATCTCATATTTTGGGTCCCGGCACCCCTTTCGGACACCCCTGGTTGGGTCACATGATGACAGGCTGCCTAATAGAGTTTGTAGTTTTATAACACTATTGCGTACCAATTCTGTGTCCTGAAATTCAATCCCGCGTAATCATGAAATTTGAGACCCCATGGGCCCCTGTGTATACAGCTCTGATGGCTTGAAAAGGCGTAATTTTCGATGAAATTGAGATCTCCGCCCTTCTAAACACCCCTGACGCAACTTGGCAGCCCAAACACATTTCCACGGACATCTCATATTTTGGACCCCCAGACACCCCTGGGAAGGTCGCAAAGGCGACCTAACCCAAATAATGGATTCAGGGCACTTCAATCCCCCCGAGTGGAACATTTGCCCCGCTTGGGACTGCAGTTTTAGAAAGTATGTGGCTTGTTGAAAAAAGCCGAGAATTCCCCCAATTGGGGTGAATTTAGGGCGGGGGGAGGCCGAGCGGCATCTAGATTTTGGTGAACTTTGAATCTCATGTCTCAGTGAACATTTTGCAAAAAAAAATAGCCCAATCCGACCTTTCCGACCAAGTTCGAAGTTTCTGCGTTTTTAATCCTACTTTGAAGCGACTAAAATAAAATAATTTGATTACAGAAATTCGTTACAACACATTCAAAAACTAATAAGTAATACTGTTTATTTCTTGATAATGTAACAAAAACATCTCAATGTAGAAGATGTTCAAAATGCTCTCCTCGAACCTCTTGGCAACATCCTCATCTGAAATTAGTTCTGAATAGCAAATCAAAAATATTTTACGTTTTAACTACAACGTTTAATTTTGACTAAATTAATATATATCCCCGTTTTAATAACCCATATTTATGTCTTGTCAAATACATCCGCGCTGCTTAGGCCGCCAGGTGAAGATTTTAATTACTTTATGCTATTAATTATACCATTTTAATTCCGTTATGATAAACTCATTTATTATTTTGTAAATAATTTGTATAGGATGGAAGAGACTTACTGCTGATAATATACATTTTATTTGGAAATTATTAATGGGGATTTATTTTATTAGACGTTTGGAAGCGTTTTTGAATTATTTTTATTTTTGAAATCCATAAATTAGTATATTATATATTTTTAATATAAAATAAACTGCTTACGGAATTAGTCAGTACAATTAATTTTATTGTCATTTGTAGGAAACTGTATCTGAAAGTTTATTATTTCTTGTATCAGTGGCTTGATGTAATCTTCAGTAAAAAGTAATTGTTCAGTGTTGTAGAGGGTGTGAAAGAATACAATGTAAAAATGTAAATTTTTAACTGCCTGCACCTGTTGCAATAGGAATTTCAGAACTTTAGAAGTTTTGGTCAATATCTCGGGTCGTATTTGACAGTTTTGTATTTTTTTTTTGTTTAGAAAAAAGTAATAGGGTATTTTCAAAAAAACGCATTTTTTAAAATTACATTTTCAGAATAAATAAGTTTATTTTACTTCAATAGAACGGCAGAATTATAACGTGAAGACCTTTTTTTTATCTGAACAGACCACTATAGGCTTAGGTCTCTCTTGGCCCTCGAACACTTCTCAAACTGGCCCTTTGAAAATCTAAGTTGTGCAGGCCTAATCTACACCATGTATTGTGACGTTGCCACATCTACAAACTTAAACCAGATCTGGGAAAAAATCGAAAATTTGTCTTACGTTGTAATCGTCACTCCCTTTTAATAATTACAATATTTAATTAGTTCAAATATTCTAATACTTTTTGAGTGCCCCTCGTATTTGGAAATATGGATATTATGTTAATTCGGGGAAATTATCTCTGTATGAGACATTCTATGGCTCAACCAATGGTGCGCCATCTCTAAAAATCAATAATTACTGTCAGAGGTTGTGCGCACGCCTGGTCATCTCTCGATGTGGCCGTTTCACATTTCACACATGCGGTCGGTTTCTGAATTTCTTTTCAATCTTGCAGCCGAATAAATCAGTTGGGTTTAGTGCTTTGTTAAGTGTTTCCGAACTAACTAAGGTAACAGAATCATTTTTTTTATAATGAATGGTAGAAATTAATTTTAGTATGTGTGTATATCCTCGTGAAATTATCTGTGAGTTATTTCATTCATTTATTTTCGAGATTTCCGCGTAATATGAGAACCACATGGTACACAGTGTACAAAATGTACAAACTGGCTGCTATTAATTTTATATATATTTTTTTCTGTTATTTAAAAAAATCTTTCCATTCTTCATGTATTTTAATTTAAATACTATTGCAAATCTATATTATTGTTGTAAACTTGAAATATTCAATTTAAAAATGTTTAATTTAAATAGTAAGCTTTTATGGCTGACCACATGTTTTGTTTTTTTTTTTTTGAAGCAATGGAAAGATACGTTTTTTTTTTTGTTGTAACTGACACGTTTTTTCTTTCTTAAAAATTAAGGAACTGGCTCTGTAAAGACAGTAAGGAATTGGACTTTATAACTAAGAACTCGTAGTATACAGAATATGTCTAAAGTCTTCATAGGGTGAGCTACATCTAGAACTGCAGAATATGTCTGTCATCGTAGGCTGACCTACAGTTAAGAGAGCGATACGGACCAGTTCGACCGTTGAAATCCGGAAATACACAAGATAAGTGTTGGCCAGGACCATACACACAATTTTTGAGTCAAAGTTATACTAGTCAATTTTAATTTTAAACGTATTATCTAGTCAAATAACGTAAACCGTAAAATTTGTTAAAATCAACAAATTTAATTTTTTCTTTATTATTGTTAACTATCACTCATTAATTAATTTATTTTAAATTAAAGCCGATTAATTTGTTAAAATCAATAAATTTCATTTTTTTTTCTTATTTCTTAATATCACTCATTAACTAATTTAGTTTAAATTAAAGCCGATTAATTGTTTTGAAATGTAAGTTCTTTTATTTTCCTTACTTTCAACTGACAAGTTAATGGCAAATTTACTTTTATTGTACATCTAAAGGTATGGCGTCCAAATTAATTTAATTGAATTCTTTTAAGTCTTTTTAATTAAAGACCTTGTCATTGACTTAGGTAAATTCTAAACGAATTCCACTGACCCATTTTGATCTGAGCTAGGCCTGAGGCTTGTAAGAATTCTTATTATAAGGATTTTTACAATGAGACCCAGGTAAGGGTTAGAAAGTTAACGTATCATCTGGTGCAAAATATGTTTTTAAATCATAACTTTGTAACGTAACATCTTCTACTACGATTTTTTTTTAATATCTTGTATCTTGAAAACGAATGCCGTTACGAAAAATTTTTAAAAAACAAACCCAACATATTTTACAGTATTCTACCTATCCTAGCAACGGGGCCACCATTTTTTAAAACACCCTGTATATATCATAGTACTATCTTAAAAATCTTGAGTTTTGTTTTAAGTCACTCTCAAACCTTCATTAGTCTGGTATTTTTTTTGTAGGATAAAAATAAAAATATGTAAGGAATCATTTGCTTACCTATAACATTCAGCCGAAACGGCAAAGACATTTTTGGTTCTGTGTTAACTTGACATTCGTAGATCCCCGAATCTCTAATTTGTGGAAATTTTATCTGCAACGTCCAATTGTCAGATTTGTCTGGTCGTATCACTTGAAACCTTTGGTCTGACGTATAGGTTAAAATCCCAGCGGTTAAGATGTGTAAATCTCGTTTTCTAATCCATGAAACCTGAAAAAAAAAAACGTCGGATTTTAACTCATGTTACAATAAGTAATACCTTAAAGCAGGGTTATTTTGAACGCATTTATAACATGATGCACATAAAAAAAGGAAATAAAAATGGACAATTTAAGTTGGTTTTTCGATTACCTTTCGGCAGGTAAAATTATGACGATATAAACTTGACCACCCTGTATATATATAGTAAATATAAAGAAATATACAGTGTGGTTGGTTAAAAATAATTAAAGATATGAGCAAAATGGAACTTAGTTATAAAGAATCGGAGATATTCTTTTAATATAAATTATTAGTTCCATATATTCCCCTTCTACCTTTAACGTATGCGCATTTTCCAATTGAAAACTTATTCCAGATTACCAGTTTGGCTTTAGAGAAAACCATTCAACTATAGATCAGGTTCATAGAATCTCAAATGCTATTGAAAAAGCATTAGAAAACAAAGAAGTCTGTTTAGCCATCTTTCTCGATGTTGCGCAGGCTTTTGATAAAGTATGGCATGATGGCTTAAGACATAAACTGAATGTGCTACTTCCACAGCCATACAAGAAATTAAAGCAGAAGTACCACAGGGAAGCGTCCTGGGACCCACTTTGTATCTGTTATACACTTGTGACATACCCCAACTAGAACAAGACACAATAGCTACATTTGCAGATGATACTGCCATCCTAGCGATAGGCAAAGATCATGAAGAGGCTGCAAATAAACTACAAACATCAGTTAATAAAATACATAAATGGACCAAAAGATGGCGTATTAAACTAAACGAAACCAAATCTGTTAATATTAATTTTACTAACAAAAATGGTCAAAGAATACCAATTAACATAAATAATGCTCAGATCCCTTATGCTAACTCGGTAAAATATCTAGGTATTACATTAGATGCAAGACTGCGCTGGAAGGTCCATGTTAAAAAGAAAAGACAAGAGTTAGATATAAAATTCAAGAAAATGTACTGGTTACTTGGTAGGCATTCCAGCTTATCTACACATAACAAAATTATATTATATAAACAAGTTCTAAAACCAATTTGGACCTATGGCATTCAGCTCTGGGGTTGTGCCAGCTACAGTAATATTCTAATAATCCAGAGATTCCAGAACAAAGTATTGAGGAACATTGTCGATGCTCCTTGGTACATTAGAAACAGCGACCTTCATTGAGACCTTTAGATGGACACTGTTGACCAGACTATCGCCACATTCGCTAGGAGTCACGAACAACGGCTCCACCAACATGTGAACGTTGAGGCGATCCAGCTTCTTGACAACACGAACCTGACAAGAAGACTCAAGAGAGTGAAACCTTTTGAGTTAGCCAAGTGATTGTGTTAATAACAAAGCAAAGCAGTGCGCGGTTTAGTGTTACACGTTAGTTTAGTGTAATTAAGTTATCAGACCCTAAGGTATACTAGCGAGTAGAACTTTAGTTTTTAAGATTGCTCATTGATCAACTCTTGATCAGATTGTAATATCAATAAACGCCCCTTTTGGAGTGTTTTTTCACAAACAAAAAAAATTCCCAATGAATCACCCTATACAATAAAATAAATAATTCCTACAAAATCACATAATTAAATCCAGAATTCTGCCGCAAACAAATTTATAATTTATATCGATTGACTTTTAATTTTCCTGACTCAACGGAGGAAAAACCACTCAAATAAACCGAATTAAGATAAATCTTTATAATACACCTTGGGAATTCAAGCCGTGCCATCTCTGGTTTTGTTAAATCAATCTAAGAACCAGGGTTGGCGGGATGTTATCCATGTATGTGAATATTCTGATTATTCTTGATATTTAATTCATTTAAAAAAATTATAATACAAACTTTTTTTTTATAACATATAAGGGTCTATCCTTTAAAAATTTGGTTAAAATTAACAATAGGTTATAAAAATACCCTGATGTTATGTTCAATTTTGTATTCTGCAGGTTATATTTGGTTATAAAATTATAGAATAATTTTTAAAATTCAGAAATAAATCTCAAAAATTCTCTACGAATTATTAAGATCATCCCCGAACCTCATAAGCTTGGAGATTCAAAAAATAGCCTGTCTGTACACAAATGCCCTAACCATTAGAGCTAGACAGCAATTTGATGTACTAGTCTGGGCCAGACGCCGTATCAGACTCGTTTTCGAATATTTAAATATCTCTATAGAGCATCGGTAGATATGATAAATGTATTGATGTATACTAAGCTTATATCTTCATTTGCATGAGTTAAGTTTTCAATGTGCGTTAAGCGTCTGGCCAGAACTAGTATATTAAATTGCTGTCTAGGAATCTCGACAGTCAATGGCATCATGGTCTAGAGGGACAGGACATGTGAAACAGATGTCTGCGTTCGAATCCCAGCGGCGACAGGCTTTTTCCAAATCTGTTTTAACCTTTGGGGTTTAGGGATGATCTCAATAAATTTTTAGGAGGATTTTTGAGATTTGTTTCGGAATTTTCAAAATTATTCTACAACTTATTTTAGATAAAAATTGTGGAACAAATTTCTACAATTATACATTTTTTTCTCTACAATAAATAGTATTGTTGATATGTTTTTTCTAAAATTTTACCAATTTAGAGTGGTATCAAATTAGGTAATTAGAATGTAATTTAGTTAAGTAAGTATTCTCTAACTTTGTATTTTTAAATATATTATACACTCCTGTAATTGGGCTGATAAAGCCTGTTGGATGTATTAATAAATAAATAAATAAAGTATATATAGGGACAGGGACAATGTGTAGTAAAAATTTTCAAATATTTGTAAAGAATGTATTGTAGAGTTATTATCTACAATATGTAGTATAAATATCCATATGCATCATAAAAATTGTTCTACAAATTAATATAATTTTTGCTATTCATTGTATGAATTTATATTAACCTCCATAAGTCCGACTGTAATAACTTACGTTCATGACCAAGTGGGGTATACCTGTACCCCAAAGTTCTGTTCGTCAGTTTCAATTAAATAGACAATTAAATGCATTTAAAAAGTAAATTAAATTGAAATCTCAAGTTAAAATGAGTTTTATTTATTTTAATATTATAAAAAATGTAATTACTGACATTTATTACAAATGTTGTGAGCTTTTGAATGTTCTTTGCAGACGTTTTTATTGCAATTGAAGCACCGATTCCGACTCTTTTTATCTCTTTTGAGGCATAGCAGGATCAGGATTAACGGGTTCTTAAATAACTAGTTCCGGGACGACAAGCTCCATGTTTCTCTTAATGTTCAATTGCAAATTTTTATTGGTGGTATACCTTCGTATTATGTTCCTCTTCCCCAATTCCTTTCCCAATTCTAATAAAAAGATTCTTCTATTATCCAGGTTCCCCTTTTTCCAATCTGGGTATTTGTTCATCCAGAGTTTGAAGGAGTTGATTCCACCAATATGTAGAAGATGGTAAAACATTGCCATTGGCCAACGGTTTGATTTTCGTTGGGTCGTGTACTCTTTCGACAATTTATCGCTGGTGTCCACAGCACCTTTAGTCTTATTATAATGTAAAATAATGTGGAGTTTATGGTTAACATTTTCTTCTCCAATTTGGTCGTCTTTGTGCTCAGTAGATATTAAAATAACAGCAGCTTTCTTTTTCGGGACATACGCAACCATAGTTTTATCTCTGATAAATGCAAACATACTTGAGAATTCTTTTTTATATGTAGCAGGAAGCAACTCCTTCGGTACAAATGTTTTGTTTTTTCTCAAAGTACCACATAATGAAAGATTCTTCTGTAGAAGATTATCAGCTAATTCTAAACTTGTGAAGAAGTTGTCTGTAGTTATTCCGTGGCCTTTAGATAAATGTTCCACTAAGCCCAGAACAACTCTTTGACCCTGGCCCTTTTCAGCTATGTTGCCTACCTGTATTTAGAGAGCAACGTAAAATAAACTTACCTAAATATACTTGCATATTGACGGTATACGCTGTACAACAATTTGCCAGTTCCCAAATTTTTAAACCATATTTGTCAGGTTTACTCTTCATGTATACTCTAAATGGAGCTCTCCCACGAAAAGGAACTAACTGTTCATCGACACATAAGTGCTCCCCTGGATTGTATGTATCTTTGCAGTTGTTGACAAAATTATCAAAAACATCTCGGATTGGGGACCAATTTGTCCGTTGCTCTCCTTTCTGCTCTAGTCTCGAAGTTATCAAAACGTAGAAAGCATAACATCTGCTTGAATCTATTTCGAGATATTACAGCGGATATTACTGGTCGACAAAATACAGAATCCTGGCTCCAAAGCATTTTAATAGGCTCCTTTGAGCTATGAAGAGCCCCCAAAATAAACAATAGACCGATAGAAGCTTCAATTTCTTTTTCTACGATAGGCTCAAATTGTACATTTTTATTTATATACCATGCTTGAGTTTTTCTGTTTGTTTTAGTGATAATTGAATTTTTCATTTCCTCATAAAAAAAAACACAATGTCTTTCTTTTACTAGTGAAACTTGAACTGGTGGGCGTTAGTCCTGCTGCTATCTTTTGAATATTATCTTTGGCCCGTTTGACCCGTAAGTTATACGAAGTTTTAGACCACACAGTTCCATCTTTCGCTTTATATACATGTTGATCACATAACACATCGTTAGTTCCGGCCGAATCTTCCAAAACATTGCTTTCAGGGTATTCGTTATCTGTTATGATATCATTCACTTCCTCCACTTCTGTCACAAAATCATGTTCTTCATTATCACTTGCACTCTCATATAATACACAATCTATAAAAAAATCATCCGATTCTAATATTTCTAAGAGTACTTCAGCGACTCCTTTTTTTGCATATTTCATATTTCATATTTCACGTAAAATGAATACTGTTCATTTACTATAAAAGCACTACTTGCTCCGAATAATAACAAACAACTGATTTTGCCCGTCGACCCGACAACAGTCAGTGGCATGTTACTAGGCGGGGTACACGCATACCCCACTCGATCTCTTTTGGCGGTCTTTTTTTTGCATACATAGAAGACCAACTAGGGTGCAGAAAAACCCCATGTAAAAAATTATGCCGTAAATCGAAAACTAAAGGCAGGAACAGCATAAACAATATTGATAATATCAGCTACAACAATGATTTAAAGATGGAATAATGGAGAAATTGATACAAATTTTTTCCATCAAGTTACACAGAAAAACATCATCATCCTGTCTTATGAAGGTTAAAAATGTATTGCATTTCATGAAAATTAGTACGAAAATTTTACCTAATAAATAGTAGAAATTCAAACAAATTGTAATAATGTTTAATAAAATTGTAGTATTATTCCATAATTAATATATTTATAACCTAGAAAATGTATTCATTAATAAAGTATTCAAAATTTATTGTTTTAATAAAAAAAGATACAAAATCTTAATAACATTATGTAATAAATAACAGTAATAATAGCTCCGTCAGTCTCAGTTGGCTTTTCTGCATCTAGAAAATATGAAATAAAAATTAAGACCTTTTAAACTGCTCATACCCATAAAACGGGGATACCTATCACCTTTACACTGATTGGGATGTTAAAAACGATGTCATAGAACTAACAAAAATAAGAAAGTAGGTATGTCACAATTAAAACGAAAAAACATCATCGAACTTGGCACAACATTCGATCGTTGGCCATAACTATTTTTATTAAAATAAACTACTAAGGTTATTTAAATTAGTTATCTAAAGGTAAATTATTCAGAAACAATAATAAATGTACTTACCACTAATAGAATTTATTATTAAAATTTCCTCAAACGCATCGGTGCTTATAATATAATAATGTGTTATAGGTACTCGTATATGTACCATGCTTTGTTATGTGAACATGGCGAACGGCTACTGCTGTCTTTACTGCTTTACTTGTAAGGCTGCATGAAATTCGTAGTAAGGATGAGCCATTTTCCAAAATTGCGTGTAATGGTGGCAATATTGTCGAAAATGTAAATATAAACAAGCATATTAATGAATTGCATGCACAAAATATTAATATTTTTTAAATTTTTTTTATTATATATGCGGATTTTTAATAAAAAAATGTCTTAAAATTCAACGTTCCGATGTATGTACACAATATGCCTTAACACACGAAGACTTGGATATAAGCTCCATGTATTGTTATTATAAAGCATACAAAAAAGCAAATAAAGATATTTTTGGCAATTTAAAAATGTCAAATAATAGTTTTGTATGTTTAATAACAAAAATTGAAATAATTTTTCAACACAATTTTGAATTATTTATCACTAAATCCGGAGTTTGTAATTTTTTTTAGATTTAATTATTTCCGAGATAACATTTGACGCTCCTTGTCCCCGATTTCCATAAATATATGTTATTAAGGGTCGATTCCACCGTTGTATTAAACGGAGATTAAAATGACATTGTTAATGTAAAAATGTCATTTTAAACTTCGTTTAACACAACGGTGGAATCGGTCCTAAGTTATATTTAAGGCTGCTCATATATTACACTTTAAAAATATTAATAGAACTTTTAAGACCATCAATAAAAACAAGCTAATTATTTGGCGCAATCTGTAGAGCTTTTTTGTTTTAATACGATCCTGCCTATCAATACCTTATTTTATTACAAAATCTTTAAATACGCTTTAATCCGACCCTAACTAAGACCCCCGAATGGCGTCGTCAAGGTCAAATTTTCTTAGTATAATATATGGATGCAATCAGCGGCAAGTGAACCTGCCGATTGTTTCTTATGCCGTGGTTTTGAGTTGAAAATTCCGATAGAATTAGCAATTCTTTATCTAAATAAACCAAGCTTCAGGTATTTCTCATTGTTTAATTTTCAATTTGATATTGTGAAATTATCTCTTATTTAATTTTGTTCCCTTAAAATAGTTGTTGATCTATAACTTTTTATCAAACAGATTTACATAATTTCATTAAAGATAAGTACTGATGATAGCTTGAAGCCGAAATTTCTTAGCATTATATATATTTTTAACCTTCACCTGGCATGCTCATCCTGAGTAATATACGAACCACAGTGATAAAAATCTTTGTAAAAATTGAATTACTGATTATTTTGCCTTAAAAAAATTCAGAGATCCTCTTTAGATACCACTTTAAATTTTAGAATAGTCAGAGTTGAAAAAACAAAGATTAGCGTTAATAAAAATCCCGGAAAACTGGAAAAATTCCTTTTTCGTCACAACTTTTGTGTTTTTCGATAAAAAGGGCTGAAATTTTAGATGTGTCTTCTTCTGTTACATCACTATAAAAGAATAATAATTGTTTTCATGGGTTTTTAAAAAAAGGTATTTATTTTAAGAGCGCTATCCCACTGACCCAGGCAGGGGCTGGTAACTCAAATGGAAAAACCTGAGGCTGGTAATTTAGTACCACTCCAATTAACGGGATGGCGCTCGTATCGAACTGTCATGTCAGTTGTCAGCTCGGCAAAACTTCAAACTCAGATAAAATAAAATGGCTGTTGTATTTGAAGGTGTATTGAATTTTGATTCATCTAGTATCTGGATTTATTTTTCAACACTTCCAATTTTAAGCATGTTTTCAAAAGATGGGAAGATGGATTTCAGCAACAAACAATAAAGCACTCCCAGATATTGGTAGTAATGCAATTTATACCACATTAAATATGCAGTCGTCCCCCAAATTGTAATAAGTGTCTTAAGAAAAATGCACCATCACTGTACCAACGGTAAGTAATATTTACAAACTTGTATTTGATTCTGTGTTAAAATAATTGGTTTGTTATTTAAATTTCTTTTTGTTTTCAGTTTTTAAATGATCATTTTTGTAAAGAAAATGTTGGCCCTCCAAAATACCCTATCGATCGATGAAATATTTGAGCCACAGTCATCAATATCAAAAATTGATTCAATGCCATTGACATCAAACAAGAAAACACCCTAAAATCTTCAAGGTTCCAAACGTGTGTAAGTTTAATTTATGCTCAAAAGTTAAATTTATTTATCACCCTGCCCACATGATGAATAAAAATTTGATAACTACAAGTGCTGTATAAATGAATCAAGAAACAATTATCGGATGAAGAAATGCTCCTCAACCTAACTAGTCAACTCAATAACCGTATGGCAAATTTTATCCACACTCAAATTTGCTTCGATAGTAAAAAAGGATGATGGATGCTTCAACCTCAATTTTTTCAAACTTATTTGCCACTCCAAGTCGCAAAACTTTTATAAAGGTCTTGAGCACTTATATATGCTGATTTTGTTACAGAAAACATTTTTGATAGGTTTGTTTTATAAATATTTAATTATTTAAATGGTGTAAATGCATATTTGTTTGAGTATTTCCATGTTTAAATAGACAAATTATATGATGCGACGTTAATTTACTGTAATAAATAAAATAAAATAAATTGCATTTTATTTCAAGTTTAAAATTAATGCAAAAATATAATGAAGTAAAATCAAATAAAGATAAAAATTGGCAAAATATTTGACTATACTCAAACAAATAATGATTGAGAGTGAACCGTGTTGTCATATCTCAATTTTACCTTACTAGTTTTTAGCAGAATCAAAATAGAGTAATAGAGTTGTAAGTTATGGCAAACTATAGATAATATACAATCATAGTACTAATAAAAGATATTAATTATAACAAAAATCAGTAATGAGTAATACATTTCTTGATCATTTAAAATTAATTATTTTATGGATTGTTCAGTATTTGTTACAACTAATGGCATCGGTGTACGGAGCGATATTTGTGTCTTTGTCTGTTACGCGTAAAATCCATCTCGTCGATGACGTTCTCAATAGTGTATTTCTAACCACGAGCGTAACATCGGGTTTTGAATTATACGGTGTGAATTGTAAGTTTTACAGTTAAGTTAGTAAGTACTCGACGTGTTGTAAGAACAATTGGTGAAAATATTAGTGCTAATAAGTGTTTAAACATTAAATAATAATATTTCTACACCGTTCTAAAACTATGCAAAAAATGGAAGACATTGAAGGGCCTTTAACGTCGAAAAAGGTAAAACGGTCGAAGTCTCGGTCGCTAAGTGAAAAACAAATTGTACTTCGAGTATTTCACTGTCTTGAAAGAGATCATCAGCGACCAAAAGATAACTTAGTGTATATGTGCTGTAATTCTACGGATGTACCTCCGAATAACCAACCGGGCGTTCCAACATCATTAACTTCCACAATTACTAAAGATAAATTAGTTGATATGTGCTCTGATTATACGGGTGTACCAAAATCATCAGTTTACAAAATACTAAGAGAAAACAAAATTCATGGGGAAGTACATTAAGCGAAGTAAATTAAAAACTAAATATAATATAAAAAGATTAAAAAATATAAAAATTTAAAAATAACCAAACAAAACAAAATAAAAATATCAATTGCATTGGATATGCAATATCCGTCATTATGATTTTAATTTAAAATTTAAGTAATACTTCTGTATGTGTAACCCAAGAAGAAACTTAAGAGACAGTTCCTTACTGACTTCGGCCGCGACATAATATATAAATATACGTTAATTTGTGAAATAAAGTTAAATTCATTATTAAAATAGTAAAATTGATAATATTGTTTCTGTCACCAAACCAACCCCTGATTAGGTATCTTTCTTATTTTTAATTTGAAATATATATTGTGATTTTTATAAATATTCTTAATTTATTTGGTTCCTACTATAATTACCACAATTATTACTCCGTTTTCATAAAGCCCCACTAATGACTACAACGATTAGGTAAATTACGATATTGCAAAGTTTTCATGAAATAAATAAAAGAAATTGTATGAATATTTTAAATAATTGTACCCTCTAAAAAATAA